GTAATGCCACAACCTGAACCTGTGATTTGAGTTCTGAAATCAAACAAAATGTACAATGAGAATTAGTCCAATGTTAAATGGAATGCAGTCGAATGACCAAACAGGTGGAGGACATCTCCATAGTTCTCACAGTCCAAGCAAGCCTACAGAAAGGGAAAATCTGCGGGAAGTGTTGCTGGGAGGAGCTCGGCAATCACCCAAAAACCTTTTGGGTTTTGTTTTTAATCAGATCCAGCGATGCTAGGGATACCATAGGGGATGGTGGACATCGAAGGTAGGCGGCAACTGTAAGGCGAGCACCCTCCGTGATGCATTGCTGTCCTGGTCCTAATTAGTTTCATTATGGGCTGTCACAATTTAACATGCAAACAATAAAACAATTTTTGGTGGGTACAAGCGTACAGCAGGTAGGCATTTGCCTTGCATGAGGCTGACAGGGGTTGATCCTTGAACACTGTCAAAATCAACTTACGAGAACCACCAGGAATAACTGCTGAGCATCCCCAGGCCACAAAACAAAACTAAATTTCTTCCCATATTCAAAAAACCATGGCAATGATCCAAAGGCAAAGATATGCATGGTGTCAGATTGACTGAGCGGAGTCCAGAAAGGGCACCCAACCCTTTAGGTGTACAGTCAAGCTAGTTATACAGCCGGGAACACAAGGATTACTTGACATACCTGAGAGATAAGGAAGAATGACAACAACGTGAAGAAAGCAAAGCACAGGATCTATCCGAAACGAACAGCTCCGGGGAGAAGACACCCCTACCCCATGCCACACCTCCACATCACATGTTCTAAGGATGAGAAGGGGATACTCAATGTCCAATGAGCAACTCAAAGAGGTTGTGGATTGGAGGACTCCTGGGTTGGCCACGTGCAAGGCAAGCATCCTACTTGCCCTAATATCGCTCTGGCCATTTCTAAATAAATGGGAGAAAATGGGGAAAAAATGGGAGAGCAATTACGAAGCTTCCACATTTAATTCTCGGTCATACAATGAAACACCAGTCCCTTAACTGTGCCCATTTCCCACCACTAAAAACCCAAATATACCGCCATTTCACAGCCTACCCCTACCTTTGGGGCAGATAATTTCCACATTCTTCTCTCTACTTTGATTACATTCAATATTTTGACACGAGACCCACCATTATTATTTGGGATTTTACCCCAGCACTCAGATCTGGCGAAAACGCAACAGTAGATAATTCTTTTTCGATTGGTGGTTATAAATAACATATGATTTTGGAATTCTGAAATTTTAATAACTAAATCTGCAGGGATTTATGCCAAAACCTGCTGGGTTCCAAGATTTGTTCCTGAGTCTCTGGGAATACGGCCATTAAACAGCTTTACCACGAGCCAGAGAGGTGGTTCGTGGGAATGACATACGCCCATGTTGGGGTGGGGAGGAACTGGCCGGCTCCACCCCATCCTGAGAGGCCCCACGTATCTTCCTGAGTGTGGGTCCAAACCTGACTTTCCAAAGGCCCTTGGAGGATGGAGGCCACTGAGTCGCCAAGTGGGAGCATTTGTTGGGACAGGACCAATTCCCCCTGGTGTGGACCGGGGACAGTAACCTACTGCAGGGTCCAGACACATTTCTGCTAAAAGGCGCTGGGTTTCGAGATTTTTCTCTGAATCTCTGGGATAATAGCCATTAGGCACCTTGATCATGAGCCACAGAGGTCAATCATAGGTGCCAGACAACTCGGGGTTTTGTTGGGGTGGGGAGAAAAGGGCCGGCTCCACCACCATGCAGTTAGGCCCTGCAAGTCTACTCAAAGCAGTCCCAAACCTAATCGTCCAGAAGCCATAAGAGATGGCGGCCACTGAGCCGCCAGGCATGAAGCCTATTGCCACCTGAAATACCCAGCCTCAGTAACCTCCTGTGTGAACCAGACACATTTCTGCTGCAAGCCGTTGGGTTCCGAGATTTGTTACTGAGACTCTGGGATCATGGCCAAGTGATCAAGAGCCAGAGAGTTTGTACATGTGTAGCAACTCGGGGTCTGTCACATTGAGGTGGGGAGGAAAGGGCAGAGTCCACACCAATCCCATGAGGCTCTGCATGTCTTGTCACTGCAGGCCCAAACCTGTCTGTCCAATGGCCTCTGGAAGATGGTGGCCACCGAGCCACCAAGTGGGATCAGGCGTAGATACACACCCTTTCCCCCTTGTGGTGGTCTGTCACTGGTAGCTCATTGCGGGAACCGGGAGCATCTCTGCAAAAAGCTTCTGGGTTCCGAGATTTGTCTCTGAGTCTCTGAGATCATAGCCTTTAAGCAGTTTGATCAGGAACCAGAGACCTTGCCTCCAATTATATAGCTGACCCGGAAATGGTTTGTTGGTGTGTCACGCACATACCTAACTTTTGTCTGTTTACTTTCTTGGAAGACTTTGCCCAAAGTTTTTGTTGTCTGGCCAAAGGCACAGCATCAATTTCGGAGATCTGGAAGTCTGATGGTTATATCAGGAAGCTGATGCACTCGCCTTACAGCATAGATTGACCTGCTGGTGGTAGCATACACGCATAAAGTAGAAATACTATATATGGAAAAAAACACCAATTGTGTGGTTGGACTCACTGTAAAGCAAGTAGGATGCTTGCCTTGCTAGTAAAGGTAAAGGTAAAGGTAAAGGTAAAGGCCCTCCTGTTGTTCGTCCATTTGCTCTAGCCTGCCTTGCTGATACAGGTCAAACCTGCCCATCCCATAGGAACCCAGAAACACCACAGAAAAATTCCTGAGCTGCAGAACCAGAAATAACCTTGAGCATCAAAGAATCGCTTCCAAATCCTCTGAACAAAAAAACTATTAAAATTAATCTAAAGAGGGACTGAAGTGATAGCAGAGTGGGTAGGGTGTTTGACTTGCATGTGACCAACCCAGGTTCAAATTCCAGTCACAATATGGACCCCTGAGCTTTACCAGGAGTAATTCCTGAGTGCATAAGCCAGGAGCAACCCCATGTGAAACGCTGGGTGTGACCCGAAAAGCAAAAAAAAAATATTAATCCAAAGAGTAAATTTTCAGTGGCAAATACCTCTCACTTGTCCAAACCCAAGCACAGAAGCCAATGAAAATGACTGACCGCAAAAGTGTCCCTTTCCTTTGTGGGCTGCCCGTGAACATATCTGGAGTTATGATAAGTGTTATATCTAGTCCAAAGGCTCTAAACGGGGTCCTGCAGAGTCTCGAATAGGGAGGAATGAGATGGTCAAGACCCCCACTCTCTTAAGTCTCCTCACACCAAGGCCTGAAATCCATGTTCCCACCCTCCAGTGCCATCTTGAACCTGGATGCAATCGTGGCTGCATGGGACCTCAGGATAACGCACCCTCACCCATGACACCTGAGTCACAGAACAGCCACCAATGCACCCCTTTAAAGCTCCACATCCCCTAATGCCTGGATGTCCGGAACAAGTAAAAAAAGCGTGAAAGTGCCCTACAAGCTGGCGTGACCTGCCGTTCAAGTTCACAAACAGGGATATCCAGGGGGCTCAAGCATGCCAAAACCTAACACAGGAAAGACTGAAGAATGGAGGTTTTCCTCTTTTTCCATTTTCAAAGTATTTAATGCTACATCTCGGTTGATTTCTGCCATAACTCCCGCTAACCAGCCCCTCTGGGCCAAGCCAGAAGCATAGCAAACTATAACAAAGTAGTGAGCCATGACAGCTCTGAGCAGGGAGATTTTTCTGTACCTGTTTATTCAGTCATCTTCCTCCTTATTTTCATCACCAGGACCCATTATTTACAAGTTAACACACAAGCAATTCCAAGCACTAGAATACTGGCATAGGTGCAGCCCAGGTGAAAATCAGCAGGTACCTTTCAATGACATGAGGAGAAGCCTGTTCCAAACAGGCAGGCTTACTTCCCTCTTAACTGCACTTTTTTAACACCCTTGACCATAGTGTCCAAAGGAAACTTGCTTGACTGACTTGTTCTGTTCTGTCCTTAGAGACTGTTATTAAGGGATAAAATCATTCAGTATGAACTTTTATGTTTATTAAGGTGTGAGGGTTACATGAAGCCCTTCCCACATTACCGACATATATGCAGTTTGTCTCCAGAATGAATTCTCACATAAAGAGTTAGAGAATAGCACCAAATGAAGGCCTTCCCACAAGTCTGACACTGATAAGGTTTCCCGCAACTGTGAATTTTCCTCTACTTAGAAAGGATTCAGAATGGCAGAAGGACTTCCCACATTCCTCGCATATATAAGGTTTTTCTCTGGCACGAATGCTCCTATGTACACTAAATCTGAGGCTTCTCATAAGGCCTTTCCACATTTATTACAAGTATATGGTTCCTCTCCAGTGTGTATTCTCCTATGTACATTAAGTATTGAGGCCATATATAGGCCTTTCCACATTCCTTACATATACAGTTTCTCTCCAGTGTGAATTTTCCTATGTATACTAATATTTGAGGCTGTAGCAAAGGCTTTCCCACATTCCTTACATATATATGGTTTCTCTCCACTATACGAATTCTCCTATGTACAGTCAATTGTTAAGATGGAGTAAAGGCCTTTCCACACTCCAGACATGTCTAAGGCTTCTCTCCAGTATGAATTCTCATGTGTAAAGTAAGGGAAGAGAACCGTGTTAATTCCTTCCCACATGTCTGACACTGAGGAGGTTTCTCTCTGAGATGAATTTTCATATGTGTAGTAAGTCTTGATGCTCCAGCAAAGGCCTTCCCACATTCTGTACATATATATGGTTTCTCTCCAGTGTGAATTCTCCTATGTACAGTAAGTTTTGAGGCTCTAGCAAAGGCCTTCCCACATTCCTTACATATATATGGTTTCTCCCCAGTGTGAATTTTCCTATGTTCCCTAAGAGTTGAGGCTACAGCAAAGGCCTTCCCACATTCCGTCCATATATGCGGTTTCTCACCAGTGTGAATTCTCCTATGTACACTAAGTCTTGAGGCTGTAACAAAGGCCTTCCCACATTCCTTACATATATACGGTTTCTCTCCAGTGTGAATTTTCCTATGTTCCCTAAATGCTGATGCCCAAGCAAAGGCCTTTCCACATTCCTTACATATATATGGTCTTTCTCCAGTGTGAATATTCCTATGTTTCCTAAGTGTTGAGGCTGCAGCAAAGACCTTCCCACATTCCTTACATATATATGGTTTCTCTCCAGTGTGAATTTTCCTATGTTCACTAAATGTTGAGGCCCAAGAAAAGGCCTTTCCACACTCCTTACATATATATGGTCCTTCTCCAGTGTGAATGTTCCTATGTTTACTAAGTCTTGAGGCTGTAGCAAAGGCCTTCCCACATTCCTTACATATATACGGTTTCTCTCGAGTGTGATTTCTCCTATGTACACTAAGCCTTGAGGCTACAACAAAGGCCTTTCCACATTCCTTACATATATATGGTTTCACTCCAGTGTGAATTTTCCTATATACACTAAGCCTTGTGGCTACAGCAAAGGCCTTCCCACATTCCTTACATATATATGGTTTCTCTCCAGTGTGAATTCTCCTATGTACACTAAGGCTTGAGCCTTCAATAAAGGCCTTCCCACATTCCTTACATATATATGGTTTCTCTCCAGTGTGAATTCTTCTATGTACAGTAAGTTTTGAGGCTGTAACAAAGGCCTTCCCACATTCCTTACATATATGCAGTTTCTCTCCAGTGTGACTTCTCCTATGTACAGTAAGTTTTGAGGCTGTAACAAAGGCCTTCCCACATTACTTACATATATCCGGTTTCTCTCCAGTTTGAATTCTCCTATGTATACTGAGGCCTGAGGAATGAGTAAAGGTCTTTCCACACAACTTACATTTATACGGTTTCTCTCCAGTGTGAATTCTCCTATGTATACTGAGGCCTGAGGAATGAGTAAAGGTCTTTCCACACTCCTTACATTTATACGGTTTCTCTCCAGTGTGAATTCTCCTATGTATACTGAGGCCTGAGGATTGAGTAAAAGCATTACCACACTCCTGACATATATAAGGCTTCTCTCCACTATGAGTTTTCATATGTCTCTTAAGACTAGACATGTGAATAAAGGTCTTCCCACATGTCTGATATTCATGAGTTTTCTCTCCTGTATGAATTCTCCTATGCATAATAAGATGTGATGAGTGATCGAAGGCCTTCCCACATGCTTCACATGCAACAGGTTTCGCTCCTGAATTTATATTCATATGGTCATGATGGAGTAACCCTTGACTCACACTTTGTTCTTTGGACTGACTTTTCTGGGGATTCTGTCCACTGTGGTTTTCTAAGGGAACACCACAGTGCTGAGAACATGGGGAGGCTCCCCCGCATTCCTTACACGTAGATGGGTTCTGCACATGGTGACTGTGGTTGAGGGTATGTTGCTGTGAGGGACTCACTATAAACAGTGCTCCTCTCCCTAGCAGCTTCTGCACTGGGGGATTTTGTGCCTGTGAACTGAGAATAACACAATCCAAGGAACTTTTTCCAGGAGAGGGCTTCTTCTGAGTGAGGTAGCTCTCACCATTCTGATCACCCTCAGAAGACATCCCGCCTGTCTCGGAGTCCTCATGGGGCTGAGGGCAGGATTGCTCACTCGAGACATTGTCATACAGTGCAGGATCAGAGACATTCCACTCGGGGTGGCAGCTTTCCTGTAGAACAACAGAGGATTCTAATTATTGACTTATTCACTGAGTCTTTCTGTCAAAAAACTGAGCACTTCAGATGTGGTTTCACACATATGCACCACACAAATGCAATTACCGACATATGGATTGTCTTACTATAGAATAACGTCATGTTACTGTAAGTTGGACGCACAAAATTGATGGATGCAGCGTCAGTAAATGCTGTGACTTCCCCCCCCCCCTTTAAATTAATGAAGGAATACAACTGGAAACAATTCTTTCTATAGAAAACGGACGCATCCATTTCCAGAGAAAATGAAATACAACCTCATTTGGGTTTTGTTAAAGCTTAGTGTGGAACCTGTGATGCAGGGGTGAAGACAACGCTGCATCGTCACACAGCTGAGACAGACCGCGTGGCCATTGCAAAGCTCTCACCACAGTGATGCCTTTCAGGATCAATGACGTTCTTTGTTCTTTCTGTTTTGTAGTTTCTATTTATTGGGGGTTTTATGGGTGGAGGGGCACACCATGCAGTGTCTAGGATCAGCTCTGTGGGTCTATGGTGTCTATAAGGCATGCTGGGTAAGGACCATCTATCCCTGTGCAAAGCAAGTATATTTCTCACTGCACCATCTCTTGGGCACACAAATTAGCTTTCTAAACAACTACCACTGTCAAGGAAATCAAAACTCACAGTATTTTTCTACATGGTTGATTCCAGCACCAAATAATGCTAAGGGTCCTCTACTCCAAGCATCAGGCTTTTGAATTCCTCACTGCCATTCCTAGCCCTCCACCTTATCAATCACATACTTGGTCACTCCTGCTGTAATAATAATATTTATTCTCAATTAGCGAATCTTACCAACTCACTCGTACTTGCTGACCCCATTCCCAAATCAAAGTGCTGTAATGCCAAATCCTGAAGTCGCGGTTTCAGTTCTAAAACTGAACAAAACATAAGTCAAGCACTTGTCCAAAAATGTAGCAAAATGATGCCATGTAGATAAGAGTACATCTCTGTGGTTCTCAAAGTACAAAGACCCCACACTAAAGAAAAGATTTGAATAGTGGAAAACTGTGAGGATTTTGGCAATTCTACACTAGGTTTTGTTCTTGTTTTTGAGCAGACCTGGTAATGTTTGGGGAAAAAGACTATTGAACAAATTATTGAACAGGTCATCTTCAGGCACTGCAAGGCAATCCCTGCTATACTATCATTAAGATCCAAACTAGCTCTGTTATGGTCTTACTTATTCGAAAGCCATGGAAGCAAATTACAGGATCATTCTGTGACTGACAGTCCAGGGGAATGAAGAGCAGCGTGAGTGCGGCACAGACCCAAGGATCCAGGAGACCAAGGCCCCGGTCTCAGCAGCGTGTTTCATACATGCTCAGGGCACCCATACACTGCACAGGGCCTGAGCCAGGAAGGGTCCTCAAACACTCACCCGCACACACGCCTCTCCTCCCCGACCTCAGGGCTCCTCCTTCCATCCAGGAGATCACCGGAGGCTTCCTCCCAGAGTGCCCTGCCCCGACAGAGACAGAGGCATGGATAAATGACATGGAAAAGGTGATAGGTAAATCCCCATGTTTTCCTGATAACTGGGCAAATATCTGAAAGGCATGAACAGAATGTCCATTTCCAAAATGCCACATATTTCTAGTTATTCAAGAGGTAAGACCCAAGAAAATACCACAAATACTCTAGACATGGCCATGTATATGGCCGACAGGGGGTTGATCAGTACAGTATGTTGTTGGTTTTTGTCTTGTTTGGGGTCTCCCCTGGCAATGCTCCGGGGTGACTCCTGACTCTCTATTCAGAAATCACTGCCTGTGGAGCTCAGGGAAGACATGGCATGCCGGGGATTTAACCCACATGCACTGCTTGCAAGAAAATCACTTTCCTCCGTGTACTATCTCTCTAGGCCCAGCAGCATATGGAGTTTCCTGAGCCCCTCATGAAATTGTCATGGATTTCAGTAAAACTACGTGCATAATAAATCTGGAAATGGCCAAGGGTGGCCAGAGACCCTTATTTTTTAAGCTGAAAAATATATCCAGAAAGAGAGCACAACAGGAGTTTGTCACGGCCAACCCAGTTGTGATACCCGATATCACCTAGGGTCCCTCATGCCAGCCAGGAGAGATCTCTGAGTGCAGAGTCCAGGAGCAAACCTTAAGTCCTGCTGAAGTCTCACAAGAACCATTAGAAGTAAATCCAAGCACTGATATAGGGCAGCGTCAAATGAGTTGAGAGATGAGATATCAAATCCCCTGTTGTGGGAGATAGATAGTACAGCACATAGGACAGAAGCACTGAACAGACATGTGGGTTTGATCCCAGGCAGCCCATATGGTCTTGGAGCAAGGCCAGGTGTGGATCCTGAATACACAGGCAGAAATAATCACTAATCTCTAAGGAGAAAAGAAAATGCAAAAACTGTCTGACTTGAGTAACTGGTGCAAAAGTACTGGGGGTGAGGCACCAACATTTTAAGTTGCCAAGAGGTTTCAGTTCACGGTACCCCATGGCCCCTGAGCACTCTTAGGAGTCATCCTTTAGCACAGAGCCAGGAGAACTGTGGACTGTGCCCCCAAACAAAGGCAACAGCAAAACCAATTAAACACACAAAAGTTCGTGTAGTACACAAAGTAAATTGATGCACCAATGGATGGAACTATTTAAAGGGACCTGAGCGATAACTGGGCAAATAGGGCTCTTCCCATGTACACAGTCGAAACGGGTTGATATGAATCACCCCATAGGATCTGGCGACCCCACAAGAGTAATTCCTGAGGAGAAAGCTGAGAGTAAGCCCTGAGTATCCACAGGTGAACCCTTAAAAAAAAAAACGAGGGAGGGAACAGATACCGCACAGCTAACCAACATCCCAGCCCATCACAGAGCTACTATTGGACACACAGCTGCCTCCCAACCCCAGGGAGCCCACACGGTCTGTTCAGACACCGTTGGCTCCACACTGCTCTCACCGACAGTCTGCAGATGCTGGTAGGTCTCCAGCATCAGGTCCCTGTAGAGCTTCCGCTGAGAGGCCTCCGGATATGACCATTCCTCCGGGGTGAAGTTCACAGCCACGTCATGGAAGGTCACTGCATCCTGAGTCAGCACACGGAGAGGGTGGGGGTCAAAGTCTATCTTTGCCTCATTGCCACTACTGTGAGGCCAGGACTCAGGGTCCTATATTGTCGCTGGGCCTCTCTGCTCCGAATGAACCAGCCTCCATGCACACACATGACTGACGGGCCCCAGAAATCACATAAGGCAGCTGGATCTGCTAAAGTGGGAGGACGTTATACAGAAGTTTCTTGGATGTATCTGCCTTTTCTGGTAACCCCAGGGCCAATTCAAGCACCACTGGTCCAGTGAGCACTGTAGAGAGGATCACTTGAATACAGACTTGTACAATCCAAAAGACTATCGCTGATTGTAGCAAAAACCACTGCATGCTCACCGCTGCGCCCCCACAGCACATGACCACTAGGATTGAGAACTCGACAGTCCATATAGACAACTACTCAGAGCAGTGAATGGCATGTGTGCCTGTAGGAACTCACTGCTCAGGACCGTCCCGAATCCCGCTAAAAGAGGTAGAAGCTTCTTTACCCAAACATCTCTACTGGCCTCATAGAACCTTGCCTCTTTCTCCTTGGGATCGGTGCATGCCCAGAAATCCACACACAAGATTATGTGAATGTAAGACTATACGACCTAACAGGTAGTGTTCCCAAAGTAGGAAGGACAAAACAGGAGAAAAGCACGTCTGGGGGCCCAAGTCACTGTAGTTGCCAGGGAGCAAACGGGGCCAGTACACCCCAGGGTGCTCTGAGGTACATCAGTTGTGAATCCAGAGCACAAAGTCAAGAGGACAGTTGATGACAAAAACAATGCAAAAGAAACCGAAGCAGCAGGTTGGCGTAACAGGACAGCTGTTCCGGGGACAGCACGTAGGACTGGCGATACCCAATATCCCATATGGTCCCACAAGCACTGCCAGGGGCAATGCCAGAGTGCAGCACAAGGAATGGTCCTCTCTCTGCCACCCCAAATAAAACAGAAAACCCAAGATGACCTGCAGCGTGCTGGACCTCCAGCATTCCATTTGTCACCTAGACCTGTCAGGAATGAGCATTGAGCACTGAGCTTTGAGTACTCCTCATGCACCACTGGGTCAGCCCCAAAGCCAATTAAAACAAAACAAACATACACAAAAGCAGCTTCAAACAGCAGAATGGCACGGTCCGATCGGAAGTCTCATCTTGGAATCCGCCCA